ATATACATTTATACTACATACATAGTTATGTACATATGTATGTACATACACGAGTATACATGCGCTTAAAATGTGTGTTTAGGTATGTATGTATGTATGTATGTATGAGCTATGTATGTATGCAAGTGTGTAAGTATAAATTTTAATATTATCAATTATGAGTTGTTAAATCTCTAAATTGGCTAATTTATGTATGTAATCATAGCATCGATAAGTATGAGTGTGTTCGTATACTACATATGATAAATAAATTTATAATTTTTTCTACTTGCTAAAATTACTAAGGGTAAGTTCGGAATATGTATGTATGTATGTATAAATATCTTTGGAAGCATCTAAGGACTAATATGCGAATAAGCCTGGGTTAGAAGGGAACTTATGTATGTATGTAGCATTTTTATGAACTCTGAGCAAACAATACATATACACATATACACACATATGTACATACATAAAAATAATAATAACAGTGGTTTCAAAGTCAGCCAATATGTATTACAATATTTACTAATCAATGTAATTAATTTCTTTAAATATGCTTAGTGGAAGACTAACTAAGGTTGTGTGAGTGTGCATATACATATGTATGTAGGAAATTAACGACTAACACACATATTTTCTAAGAATTCCTTTTTATGGATTATTGTATTTTAATTTTTTTCATATTTGATCAGGGACCAAAAATACCTGTTATCTCGAATTTACAAATTGAAAACGTTACCCGAATTCTGAAATTTAATGAAAACGTTGTTTCAAAACAGTTATTAGGTGAAAAATATTTTTTATTACGCCGATAATAGTTATGACTCAACGTTATTTTTACGTTGTTTGATAACAGTTATTGCCCAACGTTTATTTTTTAGTTTGTCTGATAAACGTTGTAAGATAAGAATATTTGCGAAAACGGTGATGGAGAAGAAGATAAAGATGATGAAAATAAAAGAGGAGGAGTGAAATAACTGTTACCAGACAACATAAAAATAAAAGTTGGGTAATAACTGTTATCAAGCAACTTAAAAAATAAATGTTGGGAAATAACTCTTAGTAGCGACGGAAAACATATTTCTCCTACATAACAGTTATCAGGCAACGTAAAAAGTAAAAGTTGGGTTATAACTCTTATCGGCGAAATAAAAAAATATTTATCGTCTAATAACAGTTATGGAACAACGTTTTTCCGATAAAACTTATAACTGTTATGTCCCTGTATTTGATTTATTTTTGTGTTAGTTCTTTTACCACTTTATTTTTTTTCGTTTTCGTTTTTTTTTTATTTTTATTCTTCTTCGTTTTAATAATTGTGCTATTCTAGTTGCATTCCCCTGGCGACTTAATATCGATGAAAAAGCCAGTATTGCAAGAATCTCGTCGCAGTTCACACCACGAATTATATGTATGATTGTTTACTCCACAAATTTTGCCCTCCTCAAAACGCAGCGACTGCGGGTAGATGAACATAGAAAGACAATCAAAATTTAAATAAGAATTTTATAAAAAGAAAACAACAAAAATAAACAAAACTCACTCACCGTTGGTCGTCGTTTCCTTGCACATTTATAACTACAGGTTACACAGCGCGGCTCATGAGTTAGCAAATCCACGAGGCAGGTGTGTTTGTGACCGCAGTTTATTTCATTGCAAGTTGGACGGTCGGCTGCAAAAACAAAGTAAGAGAAAATCGGAATAATGTTATTGATATGTTCAAGATCAAACAAATATTTAATATGCATATCGCACGCGTAATAACAAAGGCCAACAAAATTTCAAAAAATGTCTGCGGCACGGTGATTAGAGGGAGCCCTGATTCTTATAGGATTTTTTCCGTAGAATCAGAATCTGAAATTAGAAATATTAGATTGAGATTGAGATAGAGAACGAAAAATGACACTGAAGATGGCACAACGCCGAAACCGGTTTGTCTGCAAACCAAACTTGACAAGGGATGACGGAAATTCGTTCCAAAATAAATCATATTAGATTGACTTATTTTTATCTTACGGTGCGCCTGAACCAAGATTAAATCAAAGGTTGGCGGACATTGGACAATCTTGGAAGTCTCTAAAAATTCAAAACAGAAAATTATACATACAGGGCTATTCGAGACAAGTGACCTTGCAAATTTTTATTCCAAATTTCTTTTTAGCCGACTTCACAAGAAGGAGGCGGGTTATCAATTCGTCAGAATACTTTTAATTTTTTTTTTTATGTATGTTACCGCATAGCTGTGGACCACGTTAACCAATTTCTATAAATCTTTTTTTTTTAAAGGAAAGGTGTTACCTTACAGGTGGACCCATTCTAATTTGGTTTAAGTCCGATCATTGGATCATGATGATATTAACGATAATCTTAAATTTTTATATGAGAATTGAAGTCGGTTTTGTTTTTTGCTTAAAAATTATTTAATTTTACAATTTTTATTTTTACAGTTATATTGTATACGCTTTAGGGTAGTCCAAAAAAAAGTAAATTTGAGTAATTTTGATGCTCTCACCTCTTTCTCATGAGTCGACTACCGAAAATAATACCCGATTGTTTATTTAACCATTTCCTAACATTAACTATTTTTTATAGGCCCCTCAAAGACCCAAAAAATGCGATGCGGCACCCATAAAAATCGTTAGTATTGAAAAATGGTAAAATAAACAATTTAGTATTATTATCACACATTCACAGAGGATGTTTTCTGGCATTTCTTCGTCCATCTCATGGATTTCTGAGGCATTCCCTGCCACAGATCTCTATCGCACGCATCTCCGCATGGAAAAGAGTGGATATCGATTTATTAAAATTCGGCGCCCAAATATACCAGCTCCAGTATTTCCATCTTCAAGTTTTGATCCGTGTACTAAACTTCATCTCCGGCTTTTGATTCGGAAGCAGTTAGGATTCTCAGTGCCGACCTCTCTATTTCGATTGGGAAGGGTGTATGCTCACAAGAGAACTGAGTGCATCAGTTGGACGGGTGCGCATAGCACCTGTTATGCCGACGCATAGGTGACCATCGGCTTCACAACCGTGTTAAATGGCCAGCAGATCCCTTTGCGGGAGGGGCCCCAAGTTTTTCTAAAAAGTCGCGCGCAAGCGAAGAATGCTCTCTTCGTCTTGTTGGCGGTTGAATCTAAATGTGTGTCCCATGTGAGTGTCTTATCCAGCCCCCCACCCCCG